TTAAAAAAAAAAAATAGTGAGCCACAGTAATTAAGATCATATGGTTTAGGCTGGCATTGTGGCACAGCAGGTTAAGCCACCTCCTGTTATACAGGCATCCCATATGAGTACTAATTCAAGTCCAGGCTGCTTCACTTCTGATCCATTTCCCTGTTGATCAGCCTGAGAAAGCAGAGGAAGGCGGCCCAAGTACTGGAGTCCCTATCACCCACACGGGAGACCTAGATGAATTTCCAGGCTCCTGGCTTTGGCCTGGCCCAGCCTCAGCCATTTGGGGAGTACACCAGCAGATGGAAGAAATCTCTCTAATTCTGCCTTTTGAATAAATTAAATAAAAAAGATATTAAGACATTTGTTTATTTGACAGAGAGAGCAAGATCTTCCATCTGCTGGTTAACTCCCCAGATGGCAGCAATGGCGGGAACCGTGCCAATCTGAAGCCAAGAGCTTCTTCTGGATCTCCCACGTGGGTGCAGGGGCTCAAGGACTTGGGCCATCTTCTACTGCTTTCCCAGGCCATAGCAGACAGCTGGATGGGAAGTGGAGCATCTGGGACTATAGAACTAGTGCCCATATCAGATGCTGGCACTGTAGGCAGCGGCCCAATAAAATATATTTTTTTTAATCATATGGGATTAAACAGAAAAGAATGTTTAGAAATAGTACGTGTGTGTGTGTGGTCACTTGATTTTTGTAAGGTTAACAATATAATGTGAAAAGGACAATGTTTGAAATTAATGGCATTGGAACAACTAGACATATTAAAAGAAATGTACTGGGGCCTGCGCTGTGGCGTAGCGGGTAAAGCTGCTGCCTGCAGTGCCGACATTCCATATGGGTGCCAGTTTGAGTCCCGGCTGCTCCACTTCCGATTCAGCTCGCTCTGAGCCAGGTGAAGTAGTACTGTACCCCGGCCAGCATCCCCAGGGTCTGGCACTGGGAAGCTAGCCCACCTCAGCAACAGACAATGGCAGGGTGAGCACTGCCCAACCCCCAGGCTGCATTAGACGTGGTGGTCTGAGGGCTCCCAATGGGATCTAGCATCATGGCATTTTCAGACACAGGGCAAGGAGTCTGAGCCTACCACAGGTCTAGGAAGTAGCTTGTAAGATGGACTACCCATTTTTAGGCACTTCCCTAGTTCATACAAATACTTCAACCATAGATCTGGGACAAATTCACTTTTGGAAGTATTGTTAAGACCGAGTAAAAACACATCAACAGCAAACCTGGGGGCAAACCACAACTTATGGTGATATCTAGTACTAAAATAACAGAAGTATCACAGGCTCAGAGAAATTTCTGGGACGATCATTAAGTAAAACTGAAAGTAGATCTTTGTGACAATCAAGAGTGGGGATGGGAGAAGGAAGAGGGAGTGTTTCAGCATGGGCAGGAGGGAGGGTAGGGTGGGGAGTATCACTATGTTCCTGAATCTATATATATGAAATACATGGAGCTTGTATAGCTTATAAAAATTTAAATAAAATGTCTAGGACAGCCACTGTCACTATAATAAATCCTTCAATGCTCAGACAATGCTGTATACCAAGAAGCATCAGAAATTTCCAGGGAACCATGGCCTCACCTAAAGAGTGAAAGAAGGTGCCAGAAACTAGCCATCTAGGAATTTAAACCCACAAATGCCCACATGAATATTTCAAAATAGCTGTTTTAAAGAAATCCAACAAAACTTGAGAGCATACGTGAATTCTTCAATATTCTAACAGATTTGACAGATGGAAGTAACTATATAAGTCGCAGAAATCCTGCAGATGCAAAGTACACTAAGTGAAATCTGAAAATGCAACAGAAGGCATCAATAACAGAATAGATCAAGCAAAAGAAAGAATATAAGCTTGAAAATAAGCTATTTGAAAATACACAATGAAGGAGAAAAAAGAAGGAATGAAGAAAGCTCATGGGAAATATGGGATAGCATGAAAAGAACAAATATTCAAGTTATTGAGATCCAAGGCAGATTTGGCAACACCAAATGGGTCAAAAGCATATTCAATAATAACAGAAAACTTCCAAAACCTAGAGAAAGATACAAGGATCCAGGCACAGGACAGTCAAAGGTCACCAGTCAGATTCAATCCAACCATATCCCCCCACCAAGACATATTATTATCAAGTCCTCCAATGATAAAGATTAAGAGGGGATTCTCAGAGTTGCGAGAGAAAAGAAGCAAATAGCACCATAAAGGGTATTAACTTGCCTGACTGCAGATTTCTCAGCAAAAACCTTATAAATCAAGAGGGAATGAGAAGAGACTTTCATAGCACTGAAGGAAAAAAATTGTCAACTAAGAATACTGAATCCAGAAGTTTCCTTCAGATATGAGGAAGACGTAAAGATACTCCCTGACAAACAAAAGCTGAGAGAATTTATCTCCACCGGACCTGTTCTTCAAACTGGAAAAAAGAGAGGTTAACAAATAAGAAAATATCAGAAGGTAGAGAAGTCATAGGTAACAGTAACTATTACAAATTCAGAAGGCTCTAACATTGTAAACATGGTATATAAATCATTTATACCTTTAATATGAATACTAAAAAAAATTCACTACACTAAGATGTAAAAATACAAGCAATATTGAAAGAGATCAAATACAACATAAAATTTAAAAAGTAGAGAGGAATGGATCACAAATGTACACATCTTTATTAGGATTTCTTATCTTTGTTTTTTGTTTGTCTTTTTGCCTACCTTTATAATCAACATTAAGTTATCATTTCAAGATGGCTCGTTATAGCCAGAGGAAAATTTTTGGTAAACCTCTTGGCAACTATAAAACAAGAACCTTAACACATTTACCAAAAAATAATAGTATACTTAGAGGAAATCACTCAACCACAAAGGAAGAGTGTAAAAGAAGAAGGGAACTACCATCAAAATATAGAACAAGTACCAAATTGCAGTACTAAAACCTTACATATCAGTAAGTGGCACAGCAGACGAGGCAGCCACTGTGACTACTGCATCCCATACTGGAGTGCCTGGTTGAAACAGCTGCTCTACTTCTGACCCAACTTTTTTCGAATGCCCCTGGGAAGGCAGCAGAGGATGGTCCAAGTACTCGGGCCTCTCCCACTCATGGGAGACCCAGATAGAGTTCCTGTCTCCTGGTTTGTGGGCATTTGGGGCAGGAACTAGCAGATGAAGGATCTCTCTTTCTCTCACTCTGACCTCCCCCTGCCATTCAAAAAAATGAGTAAATAAATCTTAAAGACACAGGATGACTGAATGGATTAAAAATTGGACCCAAATATTTGATACTTGTAAGAAATGTACTTTACCTCTAAGGACACACATATACTGAAAGTAAAAGCATGGAGCAAGATACTCCATGCAAATGGAGCCCAAAAGAAAGCAGGAGTAGCCACACTTCTAATACAAATAGATTTTAAATCAAAAGCAGTAAAAAAGAGAAAAGGTCATAAAATAATAAAGGTTCAATCCAGCAAGGAGAAATAAGAATTGCAAACATATATACACCCAATATTAGAGCATACAAATATATAAGGCAAATATTTATGGGCTAAAGGGAGTTTAACACCTCACTTTCAGAAATAGATCATCTGGACAGAAATTCAAACAAAGAAACACAGTTAAAGTGTACCCTATATCAACTGGACCTAACAGATATCCACAGAACTTTTCATCCAACAGCTGCAGGATATACAGTCTTCTAAACAGCACATAGAACATTTTCCAGGATAGATTTTATGGTAGGTCACAGAGTAAGTCTGAACGAATTTAAAGGAATAGAAATCATATCAAGTACCATTTCTGATCATAATACAATAAAATTAGACATCAATAACAAGAGTAACCTTGGAAACAACACAATTACATGATAGCTAACCAACTTACTCTTAAACAGTCAAGGAAGAAATCAAGTGGAAAATTTTAAAAATTCATGAAATTAATGAAAATAAAAATACAACTTACCAAAAGCTATGAGAAATAGTAAAAGCAACACTAAGAGGGAAGTTTTTAACAATCAATGCCTGCATCAAAAAAAAAACAAAAAAAAACAAAAAAAAAAAACACCAAAAATGTTCTCAAACAATTTATCAGTGCACTTCAAGGAACTAGAAAAACAAGAATAACCCAAATCCAAAATTGGTAGAGGGGAAGAGATAATAAGAGTACAAGTAAACGACATAAAGACTTAAAAAATAAATACAAAAAGCAATGAATTGAACAACTGGTTCTTGGAAGACATAAACCAAATTGACCCCTAGCTAGACTAATCAAGAAAAAAAGAGGCAAAATTCAAATACATAGAATGATAGGTGAACATGGTGGCATTACAACAGACACCATAGAAATACTTCATCCCAGGGGTCCTACTTTCAATCCAGCTCCCTGCTGATGGCCTGGGAAAGCAGTGGAAGATGAACCAAGCCCTTGGGCCCCTGCACTCACGTGGGAGACCTGGAAGAAGCTCCTGGCTTCCAATCAGCTCACCTCCAGCCATTGCAGCCATTTGGGGAGAAAACCAGTGGATGGAAGATCTCTCTCTCTCCCTATCCCTCAAATAAATAAATCTAAAAAAATTCAAAACTAATAAAAACCATGCCCATATTTCAAAACTTGCATACCAAAATAAGCTCTGAATTCTATTTCCCACCAACTTTTTGAAGTACCTTTACATATAAATATATATTATTATAAAACTGTTCATTTTATCTTCAAAGTCCTTTTTAAAAATGATGATGAAGTCTGTTTTCAGCATTCATTGGAAATCTTGCAAATGACACTCAGTTATCTAACCCAAGGGGCCCCTGTGCAGTTACAATCCCTCCTCCCTCCAAAGCTGGGGGCTTTGTCGCCTTGGAAACCTTCCATAGGAGAGTTTGCAAAGCATGACCTCCCTTCCTGGAACAGGGAAGCAAGCTCAAGCTCTGTGTTGAGTTCTGCAAACCCCCCAAGGCAAGTAAGTTCATCATCCATCATTGTTTCTCCAGATGCAGTTTTGACAACTCACCATTGATTCTGGAAACCTCCCAGTCTGTCTTTAGGCTTTCACTGCCAAGGGAAAATATGAACTGGTGACCCCGGAATGACAGCTGATCATCATCAGTGGCCTCGAAAATGAGACTTCCAGGTGCACTGAGGGGATGGCAGAAGAACAAGCCTGTGTATTCCTTGGCGAGCCGCGGGGGGTTGTCATTCACATCCTGAAGGATCAGTAGGAAATCCGTGGTGGAGCTCAAGGAGGACCTGCCTGAGGAGTTGAATGATTGAAACGTGGTGTCAGCGTGCTCAGTCTCCCCTTAGATTGAGGTAGTACAAAGATGACAAGCTTGAATCATTGCTGGTTTAAAAGTCTTAGTAACAGTACCTAATATCTACGTGCTAATATTTTCCATGCATCACATCAAAACAACTCCGATGTCCATTTGCAGATGAGAATGCTGAGGATCAAGAAGTGTGTGTGACTTGCCCAGGGTCACCCAGCTACTGAGCAGTAGACGGGTTTCTAATCCAGGAGGTCTAATCCTAGCACTCACACCTTGAGAAAACAGTAAAGAATTGCACGAATGTTCTGTGCTATGCTATAGTGTTGAAAAATACGGGTTCTGCCGCATGATCAGTTGGTAACTGTGCAATCTTGGGGAAGTTTTTCGATTTCTCAGTGTCTGGGTTTCTTTGCTCATAAAATACGTTCAGTGATGGTGCCTGCCCTGTCGTGTGGTGTGAGGAGTAAGTTACTACACTAAGTGCTTACTAGGGGCTGTCAGCAAGTTGTAAGCGCTGCTATTTTCCAGTATCTAATAGAGACTATTTCTGCACTTTCTGATTGACCTGTGTCCGTTCCAGTGACACCTGCTTTCTTGCTTTTCTTGTCCACTGTCTTCTGTGTCCTGCCTACACCTAACTCAAGGAAGAAAAAACACCATTGCGCTCTTGAAGTCCTTTCATTTATTCACATTATCTCATTGCCGACAACTGAAAGTTAGTAGAACAGGGTGTGAGACCCCGATTTTGATCTGTGAAACTTCTAAAATGCAAGAAACCCTTAGGGCACATCCAAAGAGAAGTGTTGATCCCCGCGGGATGAGGTAGGGGAGTGCATGGCATAAAGGCTCAGCCAGAAGTCTGCTGCTGATGAACTGGGAGCTTTTAAATCAAGAGTTAAATGTACACAGCATGACAGTGGAATGCACTCGGAGCAAGTGACAGACAGGGAGCCTGTGGCTGACGCCCCTCTGGAAGGCCCGTCCACTTACACCCAGGCCTCCCAGAGTCGGCGCACGGTCTGCCCTTCCACCACTGGGCTTTCATCTCACAACAGGGCTTCTGTTTTTCTGAATCTTGTAATGTGCAGGGACTGGTTTAATGATTTCCTTCTCTGTTCCTCTTCCTGGGCTTCCCATTTTCAAAGCTTATTTTGGGGATCTGCAAACTTTATTTAGTAATAATTTGCTCAACTTTTTTTTTTTTTTTTTTTTGGTAAATCAAGCAGACATATCACTGGTAGGCATACTATTCCTGTGAGTTTATTTTTAATTTTAAAAAACTCCCTGCAATTCCAAGTTCAGAGCCAGGGAAAGACATAGCATTTCCACAACTGAATTTAAGGGGCTGCAAGGATTCTAAAGAGTGCAAGGATGGCTCAGACATCCTGAATTATCTGTAGAACAGTGTTTCCTTTCCAAAGTTCTCCCTATTTTACAAAAACACAAATACAGTTTCACCCAAATCTCCTGCAGTCCCAAGATTTCTATTCTGCAGGCTCCAGCAAAGTGGATAACACGGCACCAAGCCTCTTCTGTTACGAACAGGATGCAACCTGAGGAGCTGTCATCTGAGGCTGGAGGACCAAGTACTGGTCTAGATCAATAGGGCACTGATTTGACCTTGCTCCCAGGAGAAACCCAAACCCCACAGCCCCTCTGAAAGAAGGAAGGTGATTCAGCCAGAAATGCAGGAACTTTCCTAGAAAAAGCTGTAACCCCTACAGGACACCACCGAGCAGGGGGCATCCCTGTAGCCTGCCTGGAAGAAGCTCTGTTTAGGGGCACATCTTCAATAATAACAGGAAGGCAAGGACACTCCCCTACACGCTTGTATCCTCCTCGTCCTTCCACCTTGATGACATTTGCACCATCCCACTTCCTGATAATCGATTTTTTTTTTTTTTGCTTACCTTTTTCCGTGGCCACTACTTGTACCTGATACACACTCTCAGCTTCTCTGTCCAGCGGAGCCACCGTAAAGATATCCCCGGTGGCGGAGTCGATTCTAAGCCACCCTCTCTTGTCGTTTCTCAGTGAATAACTTCATAAAGTAAAAACAGTGGAAAAGCAGCCCACGTTACTTTCCATGAAAACGTGAGCATAGTTCACGCATCAACATAGTATTCTATCATCAGCGTTCACAACATATTCAGACAATCACTCTTTCATTGAATGCTTTATTTGCACAGTGTCTGTCTTCACAAGGAAGAATCATTTGCCCTCACGATGACGTGTTTGACAGGTTTTGTTAGGAGAGGTCCAGTCACAAACTCTGGAAGAAAAGTTAAGCTTTTCTGGCTATTAAAGAAGTCAAAGTAAAACAAGCTAGAAGTAGCATTCAAACCCTCCTCACAGACCTGCCCCTAGTAGGAGCTGGAGCAGCCAGTGGTGGAGACGTTGGGGGGACGCTCTTGGACTTCTGGTGACAGAGAGTCCTTCATGGATCAACAAACAGCCATGGAGTACTTAACAGAATCGGGTCGTGGACCAAGGGAAAGGTTTACAAAGAGGGGCCCTTAAGCCAGTGGGGGAAATGAGACATAAAAGTAGACAATTCCAAGTAAGTGTGGTTAATAAATTGGAAGTGCACTTCTGGAATCCCAGAGAAATTTATGGGAATCAGACAAATCTGTCTGCAGGAGCAGATTTTAACAAAGGCAAGAAGAAAGATGACTCAAGCAGAAGGAAGGGCATGAGCTGGAGTAGAGAGGCAAGGAGGAGCTTGGTGGGTGTTAAGCAGTCCAGACACTTCAGCAGTGATGGCGAAGGATAAAGCTGCAGAGACCTGAAGATCAGATCCATGGGCAGTTGTCAAATGGTGTTAGACAGGAAGGTGACTCAGCCATGTTTGTGATTCAAAAGGGCTCATCAGTGATGAATTTGAGAGACAAGACAAAGAACCACAGGAGACCCCACCTGTATGCCCACCTGCCAATCAGGCTACATAACCACTCCCCTTTGGAAGTGGATAAAAGGTCTGGAGCAGAGTGGGCCTTTCCCTTGTTAGGGATTTTATCCTGAAGCAGACAGGAGCCCTTTGGGAAGTTTTGAAAGAGGACAGACTGTATGGTTTACTTTTCCAAAGGACCATTCTCACTGTGGTGCAGGGAACAGGCTCAAGGAATATGGGACTGGCAGGTGCAAGGCTGGACCAGCCCAGAGATGGTAGTACCTTGGACCATGGTAGAAGCAGTGAAAAACATTTGGATTCTGGATATTTTTCAGTGAAAGAATCTGTATTTGCTGATGAATTGCATTAGCATTCATTGAATGCTGGTGGATTCTGTTTGTACGCAGGTCAAAACTTTGGTGTCATCCTCAATTCTCAACTGACTTATTATTGGCATCTGAGCTACTGATTATTCCTCATTCTACAGACCTTTTTCTCATTTATCTTCCAGAACTGTGTCTTAGAGGACCCCCTCTCAGTCTCCTGTACACATAAGGGTACTTCAGAAAGTTGGTTGCAATGTGTATTATGAAAAAAATTATGCATGAATTTTTAAAACCTCTGCAACAACACAATTTTCTGTTAATTCTATTTCCCACTGAGTTGCTGAAGTGCCTTTGTATCTGTCTTGAGCCAACTACTCATCATTGCATCATTTCAAGGTTAATACGTGTGGGTCATATTACACTGTAAAAAACAATGGCTGTGAAATAATTACATTTTCTCAGCCACCTCAGCCTGAGCATGAGCCACTCCGGGGTAGCCTATGGAATGAGTCTTGCTGTTTCAGACCAGCTCTCTAAGTAACTTAAGCATCCTACTTCAAGAGAATCTCTTTAACCCTATAATAGGCGGCCTAGTGTGTGTGGTTGGGCTGTTGCTTTATTCTCTCTGTCCAGAATGGAACCCTCCCCAAACCCTAGCTCATGTGACTGGTTCAGATCCAAGGCCTGGCTCTGGTTTGCTCAGTGTCTGGGAGGTGACCCTCTTCCTGAACTTGCCAGTGCTTAGCCGGAATCTGCAACAAGTGTGCTGGGAAGGGGCCTATGCATTCTCAATGTCTCAGCCTGGATTCCCAATGATGAGCCACCATCCCTTGGAATGTCGCCCAGGGCATTGACCCCTGCCTGAGCCAAGGCCAAGGACACTGCTACAGATTGCTGATGGCCTTGGAGTCCGTGCAAGGCAGCTCCTCTGTCCTCACCCCTTCCACCTTCCCTCTGACCTTGGTTGCAGTGTACAGCTGGGCCTGCCCAGCACTAGTCTCCTTTACCTTACGTCCAGGCCTTCTGGATCCTTGGCAGTCACATTGCCCACTTTGGTGCCAACAGGTGCATCCTCACTGACTGTGGCTTGGAAAGCATACTGGGAAAACTGGGGTGCTTCATTCACATCTGTCACAGTGAGCTGGAATCTGGCTTGGGAGCTCGCGTTGTATGAAACACCAGACACCAGAGGTTCCGGATTTTCTGCTTGGACCACAATGTTGGAAACGGGTGCCGTTTCAAAATCAAGAGGCTGTATAGAGGGAAAAAAGAGGGGAAATTAACAGGGGGAGGTGACCAGCTTCCTTGAAAGATTGATTCCCTAAAGCACCTCAAAAAACTTGCATGCAGAGCAGCAGGTCTTAATCCAGAGTCAGCAAAAACCTGCCTCTCTGAAAGCTAACAGACCTTTGTGTCAGACCTTTAATATGCTAATGTGCATTGTCACTCTCCTGCCGAAACACTCCTCAAATCTCTTCTAACCCTGGGATATTTTCATCCAGCAGAGACTGATTGAGACACTCTAGACAGTTCTCAGAAGACAGCTTAGGAAATATTTACACTGTCGAGATATTTCCAATTGTTTTGTGGAGAATTATTTCCCAGTGGCCCGAAGGCCCAAGTGCCCAAATAAGACTCTAAACTCAGGGAGGGTGGGAGGGGTGAAGAGAAATGATGGAAAGAGAGGTCATCTGCTCTTTTTTCAGGTCATTGAGAGGCCAGACCGGGAATGAAGATCAAGAAGCCAACTTTGGTTTGGTTGGCGAGAGGATTTAATAGTTAGGGTTACCCAAGACACAAATAAAGTGCTCGCTCTCGCGCGTGCGCTCTCTCTCTCTGAAAGTTTTTAAGCATAGGCTTAAGGCAACACGTGATGGGCCACCATAGGAAGGACTTACAGATGATAAAAGCAATTCGTTCCATGTGACTCTTCAGATCCCTTCAAGGTGGAGTCTAGGATTTTATGTGGGAACGCTTCCTAATACTGGACACCTGGAAAGTGGAGCAACCTCTACGGCGACCTTCCTACCTGAGACTGACACACTTCAGAGGATCCCTGAAACCTTAGGAAGAAAAAATCTAAATATGGTATATTTAAGGGACCTCCAAAAGTTCATGGAAAATGGAATTAAAAGATAATTTTATTTTAGTGCAAAAATTGTGAAGTCTTGGGTGGGTATTTGGCACAGTGGTTAAGATGCCACTTGGGACACCTGCGTCCCATATATGCGAGTGTCTTGGTTTGAGTTTTGGCTCTACTTCAGATTCCAACTTCCTGGTAACGCACACCCTGGGAGACAGCAGGTGACGGCTCAAGTAGCTGGGTCCGTGCCACCCACGTGGGAGACCTGGCTTGAGTTCTGGGCTCCTGGCTTCAGACTGGCCCAGGCCCAGATGTTGCAGGCATTTGGGGAGAGAACCAAAAGATGGAAGATCTGTCTATCTTTCAACCAAAATGAAAATAAAATTTTTAGAAGCCATTTTTGAAATTTACAGTTATGAATACATATTTGCTATGAACCTTTTGAAAACCCCTAATATTTATGATTTCAAACTTTTAGTTCCATTCTCCATGAACTTTTTAAAGTACCATGCTATTCATCACGTAAGCTGATACAGGCTGTTCAAGCAACAATTCCTCTTCTGCACACAACTGCCTTGAAAGGTCAAGCCTAGTGATTTAGCTTCACTCTGGAAGCACAGATAAAGTGCTGAGGGAAAGAGTATAAGACTGGGGGTATTTAACATTTTCACCAATGATCAGTGATGGGGAAAAGTATGCACATTCATTTTCCAGCTGACGTTCATGCTGGGTAAAAAGACTCATGATCCGAGAATTCAACAGGAGCAGATACAGTGGAAAGGGACACAATTTGCATTTTTCATAAAGCTGAAACCACAACAAACCCCAAAGAGCAAGAAAGTGGATCCCAGGAGAGATACTGATGAGCCACAGGGCTCAAGGGAATGACTTTGCTGCTCATGACCCTCGCTCGGCCCCAAGGGCCCCAAGACTGTGATGATCCATACCCTGCACCTGCAGAGCAGCAGTAGGAGGGCAGCACTGCTCAAACTTGTTTCACCTGCAGCTTTGCTCCGGGCGCACACACGCCACAATTCCTGACCTCCAGGCCTGCCCCTGGAGAGGCCGAGGCAGCAGTCACCAGTGTGTGTAATCCACTATTGAGTTAGGCCAAGTTTGGCTTCCTTGGGTAAGAGATGAAAGGATACCTACCCATAGGCAGAATCCTGACTCCAATAATTAAGGTAATGTCAGACATGCATTGAGTGCTAAGAACTCTATGTGTATTTCCCACTCAATTCTCCAGTATCCTTATTAGAAAGCTGCTACCATTTGGCCAATTTTAACAGACTGGGAAACTAGGACCTGAGTGGTTTCTTCATTTGGTCAAGGTCACAGAGCTAGTAAGTGATGAGGCCAACCTCCACAGAAATCATTTCCTGAGAGGAACCAGGGACTGGGTTCAAATTCCCAGTTCTGGCATTGCTGGGCAGCCTGGTGGCATCATGCTGTGGACTTGAACCCTTGACTGTATGTGGGGGGTTACTTCTGCCTCTCTCACGGTCAGTGTGAGAAGTAATGAGAGGCTGTGCAGAAGTGCCTCATCCTTATCCAAATAATGGCATTCTTCACAGAAATCGGTGAAAGGATCACAGATTTCACATGGATCCACCAGAGACCTTGAAGAGCCATGGCAACCTTAAAGAAAAGAACAAAGCTGAAGACAGCACAGTACCTGATCTCAAGACATACTGCAGAGCTATTGTAACCCAAACAGAATGACACCAGCATGAAAACAGACTCAAAGACCAATGGAACAGAATAGAAACACCAGAAATTAATCCACAGACCTATAGCAGACTTTTTTTTTTTTGACAAAAATGCCAAGAACATATATTGGACAGAGTACAGTCTGTTCAATAAACAGTGATTGGAGAGTATATATATATTTTTTTGACATGCAGAGTTAGACAGTGAGAGAGAGACAGAGAGAAAGGTCTTCCTTCTGTTGGGTCATTCCCCAAATAGCCGCTACGGCCAAAGCTACGCCGATCTGAAACCAAGAGCCAGGTGCCTCCTCCTGGTCTCCCATGAGGTGCAGGGCCCAAGCACTTGGGCCATCCTCCACTGCCTTCCCGGGCCCCAGCAGAGAGCTGGACTGGAAGAGGAGCAACTGGGACAGAATCTGGTGCCCCAACCGGGACTAGAACCTGGGGTACCGGTGCCACAGGTGCAGGATTAGCCTAGTGAGCTGTGGCAACAGCCAGGAGAGTGTATTCTTATCTCTCATTATGTATAAGAATCAACTCAAAATAGGTTATTGACCTAAATGTAACTCCTGAAACTATTAAATTACTAGGAGAAAACATAGGGGAAACACTTCAAGACATTGGTGTAGGCAAGGATATTTTAGATAAGACCCAAAAACTACAAGCAACAAGGGAAAAACCAGACAAATGGGATTAGATTATAAGAGACTAAGAAGCTTCTACATAGCAGAGGAGTAAAGCAGCAGAAGGGGAGAAAATATTTGCAAACTTCTCATCTGGCAAAGATTACTATCCAGAAAATACAAGAAATTCAAACAGCAAAAATAATCTGGTTTAAAAATGGACAAATTATCTGAACAATTCACAAAAGATATGCAAATGGCCAAAAATATATGAAAAAATTATGATTATTATTAATTATCAAGGAAATGCAAATCATTACTACAATGAGACATCGTCTCACACCAGTTAAGATTATTAAAAAGACATAAATGGAGCCAGCGCTGTGGCACAGCAGGTGAAGCTGCTACTTGCAGTGCAGCACCACATATGGGCACGGATTTGTGCCTAGGAAGGCAGCAGAGGATGGTCTAAGCTTGGATCCCTGCACCCATGAGGGAGACCTGGAAGAAGCTCCTGACTCCTGGCTTCAGATCAGCGCAGCTCCAGCCATTGCGGCCATTTGGGGAGTGAACCAGCAGATGGAAGACCTCTCTGTAACTCTGCTTTCAAATAAAAAAAAAATAAATCTTTTTTTTAAGATGACATAAATACTGGCAAGGATGTAGCAAGAGGGGAACTCTCATACATTGATGTGGGAATGTAAATTAGTACAACCACTATGGAAAACACTATGGAGATTCCTTTAAAAACTAAAAGAACCACCATGTGATCCAGTTATCCCACTATTGATTATATATATCCAGCAAGTGAAATTATCAAAGAAATACCTTCACTTTCATGTTGACAGTAGCACTATTCTCAATAGCTGAGATATAGAATTAACTAAGGTGTCCACCAACAGAAGAGTAGATAAAGAAAATGTGGTGTAAGTACACAATAGAATATTGTTCAGCCATAAAAAAATGGAATCCTGTACTTTGCATCAAAGTACATGGAAATGGAGGGTATCAGATTAACTGAAATAAGCCAGGCACAGAAGATTGATAGTGCATATCCTCACTCACTGAAGACCACAATGGTTGAGTGATTACTAATGACTGGGAAGCATGGGAGGGAAGAGTAAAGAGGTGAGATAAGAGACATCAAAACACAGAAAGGAGGTATTCGTTCTGGTGTTCTATAGCTTAGTAGGGTAACTATCATCTGGGATAATCTGTGATCTATTTTAAAACACCTAGAAAAGAGTCCAAAGGTTCTTTGGTTCCCAACACGTAGAAATGATCAGTGTTTGAAGAGATGGAGATGCTCTATTACTCTGATTTGATAATAAGCCCTTGTATACATCTGTGGAATTATCACACTGTATCCCATAAATATGTACGAATAATACAGAAAAACCAGTTGAAATAAGAAACATCTCCAAGGGCCACCTTACACTTTTTTCTCTTTGTAGATCATAAATAACTGTGTAGATTACTTGTTGCTATCCTAATTCTTCCCATCTTCAGAGAGCAACAGAAAACTCTGAAAATTTAACTTTAAAATTGTTTTTTTAACTTTGTTTATTTTTAAATTTACACATAGTAAACTTCACGTTTTGGTGTATAGTTCTAAAATACAAACTTAATCACTTAAAATCATTAATACAACCTTGGAACAATTGTGACTTCATAGGCAGGGACTCAGAAGTTTGGCTAAGCCATACATAAGAAACCACATTGTGGGGGCTGGCACTGTGGTATAATGGGCTTAGCCTCTGCCTGTGGCACCAGCATCCCATATGGGCACTGGTTTGTCTCCCAGCTGCTCCTCTTCCAGTCCAGCTCTCTGCTATGG